CACTATATTTAAGAGTTACTCAGGAAGCCAATATTGTATATTATGTAACACAAGATTAAGCATTAATGAGGCAAGAATAAAACTGTTTATCTAAACCCCAATCTAAAATTAAACAGAAGTTTATGCTGAAAGCTCACACTGCACTCATTTTGTCTCCTAACATTAACAGAGCACAGCTTATTTAGTCTCAGAGAGAAGTCCCAAGGGCATTCAATGGGGAGAGAAGGATTTTACTATCAGAAGAGAGACTATTTTTCCTAAAGAAGAAAGTGATGCATATTGAGTTATTACGTGCATAAACACAGCACGTTACAGGTATTTTGATTTAAGGAAAACAGCTGATGTCCATTACTTCTATTCACACTGTGTTTTAAAGCTAAATACAGAAGCATCCACCCAGAGGCAAGACCTTTTGATGGCACTCTGTCGTCTCTTGCTAAGCAGCCAAACCAAAAATCACACACACCAAAGATATCTGTGTGCTCAATAGGGAAATTCAAAACAAAATTAGACCAAAGCCTGCATGCCTCCACAAAGATTCACTGTCCTCTTTTTAGACTTCTTACCAAGCAAGCAGCACTACCAAGCTCACTAAGGAGCTTCAGCCTGCCAGAAAAAAGACAAGCGGACAATTAGACTATGGCCAGAATCACTGTACCATAAACCTTCCCTGAAGAATGCAGCAGGAGTCATTTGAGAACCTCAAAACATTCAGAAAGGTGTCATCCTCAGTTTTAAGAATAGGTAGAAGAAGTCAAAAGTGCCTGGGCCTATTCCCATGAAAGACACAGTGTTTCCAAAACCTCAATTCGATTGCAGCATATACCATGGCTATCCAACGGTATAACATGATACTACTCTTAAACCTCTGTAAGGCCACCAAAGGGACAATCACACATATCCTCCTCCACTTCTAATGGCTTACTCACCAGCATAAGACATTTGAGTTCCACTGGTCAGACAACATATCTAACAAAGCAGGCTGCAGAACTCCAGCCAGAAGAACGCAAATCTGTTTCTTCTGGGATTTAAATAGCTCTGGCAAAAGGCAACTGCACCGTAACTGAAGCTCACATGAGTGTTTCTGAGTGCCCAGCACAAGGGTCGGCTGAGTGGAACCGGACCCAGTCTGAATGTGAGCAAGCTGACCCTGCGACTGGGCGTCCTCCGCCTCCTGCTCTGACCGGACATCATTGCTCTGCACAAGCTGACGTTCATTCCAGGTTTCTATTTACCCTTTGCATGTCACTAACACAGAGTTAAGGTATTTACAGGAACACATCAAGTCAATCCCTGGCCTTGCAGGCATTTAAGTACGTTCGTCTCAGGCCTGTCACAATGCTGTTGTTCCTAAAACTCTCAAACTCAAGTAGCTCAGCGTAATCACTTAAAGAATTCGGAGCAGAAGAATTTTAAATACTTCGAAAATCCCGTATTATCACAAAGTTTTGGCAAATTAACCCCAAAGGAGGGGGGAATAAAAATCACATTTCAAGCCAAATCAGATACTTAAGAAAACTTGTTGCCAGCTGTGTACCTAGCATTCTCACAACATATGAATTTAAATGAAAGTTATTAATGAAAACTGTTCTTGTCACACAAGCGCCTCCAAAATTTATTTCTCTGCTTACTATGGAGAAGAATCAAAACTGCTGCTAAGCATGAACCAAATGAGAGCAGCTTCACCACCTGTGCCATTCAACTACAGCTACAACCAACTAAGAGAAAATATTCAGGAGGAAGGGGAAATGAAGAAAGATACCCAGGAACAGAGAAGCTGTATTTAAGACAGAGTTCAACAGAAACCCAAGGGAAGTTTCAAAAGTTCTATTTAAGCTCATCTACACAGAGGCTCCTTTTCTCCAGAGTATCACAAGGTTAACACTTACCGATCCAGCCTTCCAACTATTGGCTTTCCTTGATCCATTTCAGCATTCCCATTTCAGCAGAGGGCACACTCAAATAAGAGCTGATTTTAGTTCCTGTGTCTCTTCTATACACAAGCTTTAAGAGAATGCTACAGCTATTTACGCTCATGCCCACTGGGAAACCCTCTCAGACACAACCTTTGAAATAAACTGGAAATTTGAAATAAACTAGAAGAGTGAAGACCTAAACAAACATATAGCCTTGACATGCAGTAAATATTTTCTTTCATAAAGATTGGTTTTCTTGCTGGTTACTCATTCAGAAGAAAAAAAGGTTCAAAAGCTTTGTTAAACTAGTTAAAACACACATCGACAAATACAGAGTGCTCTTAAAAGATATGGTACATTAACTGTGGAGAAGGAAAAAAAAAAAAAGGCAAAGGTACAACTCAAATAGGACATTCCGTAACATGCTTGTGAAAACTTAGCACAGTGTGGCCTAATTCTCATCTCTCACCACGGCCACTTTACACCTTCCAATAGTATAAGAAATACAATGTCATATTCACCTCTATATTCTGACTTCCTGTACAGCACCAGCAGCTTGATTTAATATAAAATAGGCCTAGTCTATACAACGACTTTGTATTTCTACTGTTTTACTTATTTTGCACTACTGCAATGTTCCGACCACAGGGCTTAAGGCAGAGCTCTCCCCCAGTGAAACCAGCACAAATTTCTGTGTCTAGAAAAGGCACACATTAAGAAGCATGATAATAAGGAGATTTAACTTTAAATGGGTTTTGCAGAGAGGCAAAAACCCTGGCTCCCCTCCCTGTGGGCTTCGGTGACTAGCAAGGTAAACTCTAATAAATTAGAAATGTGCAGGGTGTATTGACCTACAGCCTGGTTTCCATCTAGGGCAAGTCACTTCAAGAATGCCCCTGACTCACTTTCAAGCAGCTTCTGCAGAACTTGGGAGTTGCCATAGTGCTTCTGCATTCATATAATAATTTTTAGAGCTTCACCTCATGTTAAGGTGGTGGCTAAAAAGGAAAATAAGGCCTTTTTTGTAGCGATTCTGGAACTGCTAGAGGATTACTTCACACTGCAATAGAAAAACAGCAGGCAAAGTATCTGAAATTATTCTGCTGATGAAAAAATACAGACAAATTAATTCCACAGCCTTGTAATTTACATTATTCATTATTCCACTCTAAGAAGGAAAATCAAAACTGGATAGTTATTTACTGCAGCCTTTATTCTGCATGTCTTACTACTGCAAAACTGCTGCAAATTTTGTCTGAAAGACTGAGAATTAAAAGAAAGCAGAAGTAAGACCTGTGGGCAAAAATAGGAAACAGATTAAACAATCCGTTGCAGGACAAAGGTTATTTGTAGATCAGTTACCACTAGGGGCTAAAAAAGCCTGCTCGAAGCCATCACCACACTGCTTCCAGTTGCTCACACTTAATCTTTAGTCTTCTCCATACCAAAAATTCAGACGCAATGAAACAGAAGTGTAACACTTGAAAAACGATAGCTTATATAAAGTTTAACAGCACTTGCTAAACTTCTACAGAAAGCCTTAGGCCTGATATCCAAGTTCAAATGTGGAAGTCAAGTAGTACAAATAGGGTCAGACACCTGCCCCAACTCTCAGTTCTTTAGTTTTCCTTTCTCCTACAAACTGTTTTTCTCTATCACTGTGACATTTTAGATTTAAAAGAATATTTTATACTTGCTGTAATTCCAACTCTAGAAGAGAGAGTACTTTCGCCTCTCAGCAACTTACATCAGCAGAATTCATTTCTAAAGTTAATGTCAATTTGTCCTAAATGCACTGCTAGGAGATACTCTAAAGAAAAGAGGAACGGACTGCTTAAGCTGACTGTGCTGGATCTGTTAGATGTTGCTAAGAAGCACACTATTTTGGCACTTCTTCTAGGCTGCCATCTTTCCAACACAGGGCCTTCACACCTCACAATCCAAAGAATACTAAAGCAAAGTCTACCTACACTTGATCCATAACTAAGTCTTCCCATCGTTCTCAATAGAACCAGCGAACGTATACACCAACTACGGCACTCCAGGAATCATTTCATCCTCCCCTTTCCATTCGACTTATGCAGTGTTAGAATTTACCAACAAAAGATTGTGATATCACAGCACTGTCTCACAAGAACATCTCAGAAGGGAAACATCTTACAGTAAGTGATGGGTTTTATAATATTTTTACAGTAATGTTCTTCCCCACTAAACATCCAAATTCCACACAAAGTCTAAACAACTAGTTATGCTTTAAATAAATATTTTCCAGATCACTAACACATTGCTAGAAAATAATCTGTTTTGAGTTATCTTCCTTCTAAATTCAGAACAAATATGAAAACTGGTTTTCAAAACCACCCTCCCAGCAGTTAAATGACACCTGCAGAATAGAAACCGAAGCTTCTAGAGAAGCCTGGCAATTAGGACTAATGGAAAAGTAACTAGATTCCCAAGGCTTCCCAAACCCTCTTTCCTTTGAAGAAGTCAAGCACTCCTCCCTGTCCATCTTCTTTCTAAGCACTTGCCAGGATTTTCAGTAGAATGACAGTTATATAAGCTTTATGAAGTTCATAGAGTAATAAGCCACAGATCAATTCAGAAACTGAAGTTACATGCCTGCTGTCCACGTTGCAGGAACATCGAGAGTTAAATACAACCACCAAATTCTGCAGGTCGAAGGAGCAGCCAGCACATACCTCAGTCTTCCAGATTCAATTAGATTTTGTTTTGTTTTAGGCTTTCTTTAATTATCCACTGCCATTTGAGCCCAACTGGGTGACATAAATGTATTATCCCATCATAATGTCAGAATTTAAAATTAGATTTGGTCTCCATAAATACACTTCATCCAACCTTACTGACTCTGTCCGGCAATGACGCCTATTTTATGTAACATCTTTCATACACTAAGACCTAAGAACTGCACTAAAAATCACAGCTACTTTTTCTGGCTGTGGATTTCTCTTCCATTTATCTGAACATAATTTAGTTCAGGGTAAAAGGAAATAGTTTCGTGTGAAGCAGAAAAACACTGAAGCAGAAAGAGAAAAAGCAAATTACATAAAGTCCAAATGTACTTACAGTCTCCTTATTCGGAAGCAACTCCTTTCGGATCCTGAAGAAGTTCTTGCCGTACTGCCTCAACCCCTTAATAAAACGTTTCTGTGATAAAAGATAACAAAAATAGTATGTCAGCAGAAGGGAAAAAAAAAAAATCACGTTAATCAGCACAACAGCCAAACAACGTTCTTAGCTTAAGGACTGCCGACAGAAAAAAAAAAAAACACGTATACCTACACAGGAACTGAAAACCGATAAGGGAAAAAAGGCTTTGAAAAGATACCGAAAAATTCAAACCACCTTCCCTTCTATGTCAAACTTCCAACATCTGAAGCTTAAAAAAAGTCAGTACCACAGTCAGTTCTTTTCCAAAACGACCGAAGTATTTGCTGCACGTCTCTCTCGAAGTCTATTTCTCCAGCCAGAAGCAGCAGGCGAAGGAAAATACGCAACGCTGATTTCCAGGCGAGAAAAGTGACTCTCCAGGGAAGGTGCTGCAGGGGTTAAGGAGTCCTTGCCGCCGCCAACCCTCCGGATTCACCCTTCCCGATTTTCCGAGGAATACCAGCGCACGGCTTCCCGAGAAAGCCGTCGCCAGGCGAGCGCGGAGC